CTGGGGAATTTGCATTCTAGCATCCCTGCTGTGATTTCACAAAGTCATGTAAGGAGAAGCTGTTTCTAGCATTTGTTAAAAAAGAAAAATACTAATAATATTTATTTAAAAATGGGGGGCATTATTCTTACCCAATGTGTACAATTTAGGATTTCAATATATTATATCATATCATACATGGAAATAGACATTCATGCTTGTACTATAATTAATCCAGGCCGGCAAAAAATTGGGCCAAACTCTTTAAATGTTTTGAGCCAGATGATCTTTATTTCACTAATTAATTCAATGTATTTATTTTACTTAGTTGGGTAGTCTGAACTTCTGTTTCAAATGCGTAGCTTTTACATTTTTGCAAATTGCCTTTTTGACTTTCTATTTCACTTCCCATTTACCATTTCAATCTGAGACTTTAATACTGTTTCCACAGTTACAAACCTCAATTAATTGTGGCCTTGGGAATTGAGTTCTCAAGTTTATACCCAACCCCCTTGGCTCTTTGTTCCTAGCCTAGACCGTAGGCTCCAAATGTAGGCCCTAGGGACTGGGACAGAGCCTGCCTGCTCATCCTGCCTGACAAACACCAGTACTAATCTAGAAGCCAATGGCTCATTGCCAGGGCTTTAGTTTAGGGAAACCAACCAAAGAAAACATTTTTGGTCTTGCAGAGAAAAAGAGGTTGACAGTCTTTGTAGAGTGTACCTGTCTCATAGCAGCTTTGGTAGACTGGCAAAGTAGAAAGCAAACCACAGGAGGAAAAGAAGATACCAGTGGGATAACTTGTGGTAATCTCTTGGGTTTTCCAGGTAGATATATAAATTGTGCTTAAAGCTAAATTGCAATATTTCTTTATCACTGAATTTCCAAATCCTATTGGTTCTTCAAGATTTAGTTTAAGTTTTATTTTCTATATGAAGTTATGCTTTTCAATACAAAAACATTTAAGGCTATAGAAAAGTGCGGATAATAAGCAAACAATTATGAATTATATAATTTACTAGATGAGTTTTTTTTTTTTAAATATATTTGGTACAGGGTCTCACTACACAGCTTGGACTCATTGTGATCCTCCTGTTTTCAGCCTCCCCAGCTCTGGGATCACCAGTGTGCACCACCACACCTGGTCTCCATGCACCTGTGCGCAGGGCCCACGTGGCTCGTGATGCTAGGGATAGAACCCCAGTTCCTACGCTTGCCTAAGCAGGCGCTTAGTCTGCTGAGCTATCTCACCAGCCCTACATGAGGGGTTTTTTTTCTAGTGAAGATTTACTCTCTAGAAGAAGAGGCTCACATGATACTGAGACAAAAATCACTTACCAATGTTCAACAGCAATTGCTGTGCCATGTGGGCAGATGAAGCCAAAAGAGATGGTCCCTTATAAATTGTGTCTGGATTCATCTACTCTTCTTTGGCTCACTCAGGCAACACTACTACTGCCTTTACCCTTTTCCTTTCTCCCAAATAGACTTATGCTTCTAGAGTGCACCTACCTGGTCACCCCAGCAGCTCTTCAAATAGGGACTCGGTTTACAGTCTTTTTTGACTTAGAGCCTGAAGGAAAGCATGACATTTTTAATCAATTATATGGCTCTGAGTTAGAATTTTTTTCTCATGATTCTGACTTTCTCTTTATGTGAGAGTACATGGTGTCCTCTCGAAATTCATTTGTTGTAGTTCTCATTCCTCAGTAGCTGAGAATGTGACCTTACTTAAAAATAGGTTTGTTGAAGGTGTATTTAGTTAAAATGAGCTAATATTGGAATAGGGTGAGAACCTAACTCAATATGATTGTGACTATATAAAAAAGTAAATTTATAGGTCTCTGAAACAACAAATTATTTCTGTTTCCTTACGCTAAGTAAAACAAATAAATACTTAATAAAAGCTGTTACCAATGATGGCTATATCACTTTTCAAACTACTTCCAGCACGAATCTTCTTTGCCTTGGTCAGAAGCTGCTGGTTGCTTTTTAAGCTGTTAGGTAGAGTGTCTAAGTGTTTATGCCCTTTTCCTGGTCTCAGTATCTTACTAGGATTCCAGTTTCAATCCCCAATATGACTAAGCCTCAGTCCTGCCTTTATGCAAGCATTCAAAGACGTTAGCATGGAAATAGAGCAAGGCCTACCACTTTAACTAAGAACATTGTATCTGTTTGCTCGCTGAAACTGCTCTGATTTCTCCCACACTGAGCACTTGGTTTGACTTCCAGTCACTTAATTTGTACCAACCCTATATATGCAGGGTATATTACATCTCATAAAGACTATAAATTCTCAAAGCAGTATCATTCTCCTTTTAAGACAAGTTGGACCAAACATTATTATACATATTTCATGCAATACATTAATATCAATACATCAATATATCAATAACATACTTCACAGAAATAGAGCAAACATTCCTAAAAGTTATTTTGAGTGAGAAGAGAGCAATAATAGCAAAAGCAACTCTGGGCAACAAAGGCAAGGCAGCAAGCATTAAAATCTCTGATTTGAAGTTATACTACAAAGCTTCTGTGATAAAATCAGCATGGTACTAAAAAAAAGACCTGAAGATCAATGAAACACATTAGAAGATGTAACATAACTTCAAGTACATTCAGACACTTTATCTTTGACAAAGAAGCCAAACATGTTCAGTGAAAGATAGCCTCTTTAATGAAAGGTACTGGAAAAACTGGCTGTATACATGTTGGAGACTAAAACTAGACTCCTATCTATAATCATGAACTAAACTAAAATCAAAGTGGATCAAAGATCTAAATACTAAAACAGAAACACTAAATCTACTGAAAGAGAAAGTGGATAGAAATCTCAAAGACATAGCTATGGGCAGAGAATTTATGAACAAAACCCAAACTGCACAGGAAGAACTTCAAAGAATCAACAACTTGGATCTCATCTTACTAAAGAGCTTTAACACATCAAAAGAAATCACCAACAGAGCAAAGAAAATCCACAGATTTTGAAAAATTTTAGCTAATTACCCCTCAGACAAAGGACTTCTGTCTAGAACATATAAAAAAATTGAAAAAAAGAAACCAGACCCCCAAAGTCAAAGACCTAATCCAAAAATGGTCATCTGAGCTAATACACAATTTCAGATGAAAAAATGCAAACAGCAGATAAATATATGAAAAAATGGTCAACATTATTGGTTATTCAAGAAGTGCAAATTAAAATGACACTGAGAGTCCATCTCACCCTGCAAACTATGGCTGTCATCAAGAAATCAACCAATCAAAAATGCTGGAGAGGTTATGGGGAGAAGAAAACCTTCTGTACTGTGTGGGAGTGTAGACTGGTACAGCCTCAGTGGAAATCAGTGTGGAACTTCCTCAAGAAACTATGATTGGAGGTCCCAGCCCAGCTATTCTCCTTCTGTGTGTTTTACTAGAAGAATTAAAAACCCCCATTTATAGCAACCCAGTTTGTCACAGCTAAATCCTGTAAACAACCCAGAGTCCATCAACTGAGGAAAGCATTAAAAATATGTGGTATTTTTATACAATGGAGTACTACTCAGCCAAAAAGAAGAAAAAACTGGAGACTTTTATAGGTAAACTGATGCAACTTCAGACCATACTTACAAGTGATATATATCAGACTTGCATGTGTAAAAGCAGTATTGTCCCTCTAGCATAACAACCTGAAAGAGTAAATGAGAGCCAAAATGTATAATAGTTATTGGGAAATGGAAGAAATTATTCAAAATGAAAGGAAAACTAGTATGGTGGAAATGAAAAAAGGAAGGGGAAAAGATAGATAAATAAATGCACAAGATAGTTATACTACTAATTTCTATCAGATCACTGAAAAGAAAGCTTGTGCTCATATTGTTTGATCAATTTTATGCCTATATCTTGTAATCTGCACAACTACTTTGAAGATAACCGTATATAATGTGTTAACCATTGTTATTCTCCTGTCATCATTTTTTGAAATTTTGCATCATTGTTTTCATTATTTGACCTTTTAAAATTTAAAAATAAATAAAATAAAACAAGCTGGGAGAATACCCAGTTTAAGAGTTCCTACTCTATTGTATATTACTTTTATAACAAATCTCTTTATCAGAAGTGTGTATTTAGATGTGTGCCTTATAGTAGAGAAGAGACAAAACATTACAGTCATCAGTGATTGATAACCTACTATGAGCAAATCCATGAATTATGCATCTTAGAAGATCAAAATGCATAAAGGTTTGGTTTCATTACCTTAAAAGTATCTCTATCTGATATTAAAATTTAGTCTATAGTTTAGGCATTTCTAATTGTTTTCATATTTTCCCAAAGAATCTGAAAACTTGGTGTTTGCTCAAGGATTAAATAAGAATTGTTTACCTTAGGGCCAGTGAGATAGCTCCATGAACTAAAGCGCCTGCTTAGGCAAGCTCAGGGTCTGTGGTTTGACCCCCAACAGTGGACGCCGCCCTAGCCCTGCCCCCAGGGTGGGCTGAGCCAGTCCCCAAAGAAAAAAAGAAAAGGAATTGCCTAACTTAAACTGAGTCATCAGTGCCACTGACTTTTATCAGAGTTTGGACGTACATGACTGTACCTCATTTGCTTGCCTTGCGCTGGCAGCAAATCACTATATAAAAACACCGCCTAGGTGAACCCTTTGGAACTTAAACGTGTCCTTTGGCCTCTATAACTCTAACACACTTGGCTGTGGCTTCTTTTTTGTCATCTGAAACTGAATTAAAGCAAAATAAATCAACACACATTTTAATAAAATCATTTATGAAGTGACCATTATTTGCATTTTTAAATAAGTAGACAGACTACATTATTGCACAATGCACCATTTTTAACAAGCACCATTTAAAATTTCACACGCAATGTCCCTATCATTTTATTTTCATCAAAATTCAATAAAGCACTCTGAAGTATAGAATTTCAGATCCACAGAAATGGTTATGGTTGGTAAATAGCCAAGAACTGGCTATCCTAACCCAGACTAACTACATTTTCTTTTTCTTTTCATTTCTGTTTTCCAGACACTGCAAATGGATGTAAACAAGCTGAATATAACCTTGCTTCGGGTATTCCGCCAAGGAGTGGCAGCAGCTTTAGGACTCTTGCCTCAGCAAGTCCACATCAATCGCCTGATTGTAAGAAGCCTATGTTTCACATTTCCAGAATTTAACTCACTTTTAAGTCTTTGAAGGTCTCATGCTATGGTTTTGTTACTCATAAGCCAACTCTAGCCTACCATCTGTTTTTGCAAATAAAGTTTTATTGTAACAAGCTACAACCATTCATTCACATATTGTCCACTTCTGCTTTCATGTTTATGGTGGCAGAATTGAATGGTTGCAAGAAATTATTTATCCCATGAAGCCTATAGAATTTGCCATCTGGTTTATTACAGAAAAAGTTTCGCAATTCTGTTAGAGTTCAAGGCTGGCTGCCCTGGTAAGTATGAAAAAAGGGATCCAAAAAATTTGTATTGCCAACCTCTTCCTGCTCCTAAAACACTCCACATGAAAGTAGAATTTCTGTATTTGCTTAGGTACTGCTTTCAGATGGTCACTTTAAAACCTTTAGAATATCAGTGCCACGGTGGACTGACTGCACAAAGCAGAGGATTTTGAATAGGATGAACAGCCCAAATGAAATGTAGGAATGGATGGTCCAGAAAGGCCAAGGCAAAACTCATCCAGGCATCTGTGGAAAGCCCAAGGGACTCCATCATTGGCCTGTCAATTGCCACATCCTTTCTCAACCCCCCTTTCTTCGTGTGTGTGACCGTGAATGTTGTCCAACTCCATGCTCCCATTGGCAGTTGAGTAGGAGTGAATAAAGGAGGGCATGGCAAATGCAAGTCGGAGGATATTTTCTTTGTAAGAATCTCATTACCTAAGATTTGGGCAGAAAGGAATATGGGAATTTTTAATTTTCATTGCACTGGAAGCCCAAGCAAGGACTTCATGTTCTCCTTGCCATTAGTCGCTACACTCCTGGTTGAGCTCAGCTTTCTACTGCATTCTCATCTGCATTCCCAGTTATGACAAAATTTGCCTTATGTTTGTTTCTTCTATATGTAGAGGGTGAGTTGTTTCACTCCGTAGAAAAGTTTTTATTCTGTGAGTCAACAATTTTCTGGTATTATTTGTTTTCTTCTCAAGAATGAAGTTTCAGCTCAGTATGACTGAAGAGGGAATATAACATCTTCTAATATCCTTTGAGAGTGAAGTAAGTTATTATATCCAGGGAATATTTTGCCCAAGTGAGAAGGTTTAGATATAATAGAAGTTTGGGACCTACATCTACATGTGCTTATACACTCAAATATCAGAGGTATTCTTTTATGCATATGGATTTAATGAGACAGTAGCTGTTCACAGGGATGAAAGAGGACTTGGCGCACCGAGAAAAGGGCATACACATCCTTTCACGATGTTAGCAGCATTGTTCACGGTAATTACTACAGTAGGTAGAGGTGTGGATCCTGAACAACAGAGCAGAGCGATGGAGCACAAGTGCCTGGGAGACAGACAGACAGACAGACAGACAGACAGACAGACAGACCTTACTCCAGTGGCAGTGTGGTCCTGCCCCCGCCATGTGACCACAGCAAGCTACTTAGGTTTCTTCATTTGCAAAACTGGAGGTGACCACCATGCCCATCTCTTGGGAGTATTTTCAGCATTAAACTGGATAACATATTTAAAGGAGATAGGAGCATTTCAGGAACAGAGTCAATATTCTATTATACTATTCTTCTTAATAGGTCATAAGCTTATGTAAGGTATCACATTTTTCACATTGGTATAAATACTGACTGTCATTCCCCATTGTTCCTGTAACACAGGAATGTTTTTCTGGGTTGCTAGCAGTGTCTTGATCGTTCATTTTGTACTCAGAGAAACTTCTGATAAACTGTATTCAAAGAAAATTTTCTAGCCTGAGAGACAGGGCAAAAAAAGACTAACAATAATTTGGCAATAAATTTCCTTCTATAAGTACATACTGTAAAACACGAAAGATAATATTTTTAATATCTTTTTCCTGGCGTTTATTTTTTACATGTATGGGACACATGAGCCATAAATGGTGAAAGGTTAGTCTCCATTTCAGCTAAGGAGAGCATGTTATCAGGAAAAGCATCACAATATCACTGCATGTTTCTTTGTTTGCATACGGACAGTGAGCTGCTTCATTCCACATAAAAACTGGAATTCGGCACAGGCATTTAGTATATGTGCTGCCAAAGCTAGTGCATCCACACTGGCATTTAAACCAAGAGGTCACTTTTCAAAGTGTAACGTATTAAGGTGCACAGAATCAGGGACAGAACTTCAAAGCTTATCTAGCACTATCTTCCTTGGCTGGACCAGCCTTCACCTTCATATAAATAATAAGAGAAACTTACAGAATGTACAATCACTATACTGTTACATCAGATTTTATTTCAGTTTAAAGTACATCTTTAAGTATAATTACTCAGGGGGCCAGGGAGATGGCTCCATAGAATAAGCACTTGCCTGGCAAGTGCAAGGGCCTGAGTTCAATCCCCGGTTCCACCAAAAAAAAAAAAAAAAAAAAAAAAAAAAAAAAAATTACTCAGGAAACATATAAACAATATAACTTCAAAAATTGAAATATATGGTGTTTGTAAATAGGATATCATATCCACATCTTGTACAGCAATTAACCACTAGGAAGAATGTATGCAATGTGTTAATTACTGAACCTGTCCTACCAATTTGATTTGAAACTGACTCATTGCTATTTGTTTCTCCAATAGCAATGAAAAAAATAATAATTTCATAAATAAAATTATGACAAAATAAATAAATAAACTACACAAAAAAATTGAAATATCGACTGGAGAATATACCAATAGCCAATCAATATAAAATTCCAAATTTTGAGTGCCAAGTAACTGAGAGAAAACTGTTTGAAGGTATTAGACTTTACACTGGTAATATGAACTCTATCGAGAATAACAAATGTGCTAAAATAACTTTTCAGATTCCAGGATGTTTGCTTAGATGTTAGGATTCTAGGACGGCCTTTAATGTTTCCAAGGAATGGTGGAAGTGTTGCCCAAAGCAGCTTAAAATGTCTATAATGCATATGAACAATCTGCTTTCACTAGGAAAAGAAGAACAGTGTTGAACTATTTGTGTCTCCCATAAACAAAAAATCAGGAATTTCTGACACTCTGCCAGCTGAGGAAGTATTGCACTCCCTGAATACCAATGTTTTGCATCAAAGTTTATCCCAGTTTGGAATCACAGAAGTCTCCCCTGAGGTACGTCCTTGCATGTCAGATTTCATTTTTAAAAAAATCACCTGACAAACATATCTACCTGGTCTTGTAGACAACTTTTGCAGTAAATGTGATGTAGTGACCTAGCCCCACAAGGCTTTGAGATGACAGCTCTTTGCTGTATGTTGTTTAATTTTGAGTCTACCTAAGGGTCAGATGTCTCTGCTCTTCAGACTATTATGTTTGTTTTTCCAGAAAATTCATTTTCATAATAAATCCTTGCTCTTTGACACATTTTTCTTGAAATCTTTGTAATATTTTACAAAGATTTGAAATCTTATTTTGATATACCCAGTAACTTGTCTACAACACCAGGTAGATATGTTTGTCAGGTGGTTACTTGGAACAGACATATCAAACAAAACAAACAAAACCCACAAAACATCCTTGTCCTTCTCCTGCAACAAGTGCACCTATCTTTATTGTGTTATCGTCAAAATGTTCATCAAATCTTTTTCCCACACTTTGGAATTCATTTGAAATGTGTTCTGTTTCCTGTTCTATTTTCTTTGCTGAGGAACCCATGCTTAAGAACCATGGAGATTTTATGTATAGTATTTTCTAAATTTGGTACTTTTACAAAAATTTCTCCTACCATCCATTGTCTGCCTTTCCATAAGGTCATTTCCTCCGGGCCTCAGCTTCCTAATATATCAAATGGGTATAGAATATAATCTTATCTTACACAGTTGAGATATGGATTACATTTTTCAAATATATGTGGAAACCTTCACATCAAGGAGGCCTCATATAAATATAATTTGAATAGCAGGTGCAATGGGAAAAATAAGAACATGCAGTTCTCTTTTGGTGTCCCTGAGGAATTGCTTCTAGAGCTCTCAGAAACACAAAAGGCATGGATTCTCAGATTATTTATATAAAATGGTGTTTTATTTACACAATATTCTCCCACATATTTTATTTATTTATCTATTATATTTAGTATAGGGTCTGTAGGATCTCACTACACAGATCAGACTTGTAGTGATCCTGCTGTTTTCAGCCTCCCAAGCACTGGGATTACAGGTGCGCGCCACTACACCCAGTCTCCATCACCCTCTCAGAGCACCCTGGGGGTGGGACCAGCAGAGCACACCAGGGATCAAACCCTGGCCGCTGTGCTCTGCCTAAGCAGGTGCTTTAGTCTTCTGAGCTATCAGGCCCGCCCTTCTCCCACATATTTTAAATCATCTCTAAATTACATATAATAGCCAACAGGATGTTGGTATTATTAAGATAACTGTTATATTGAATTATTTAGGGAATAATGTCAAGAAAAACTCAGTATATGCAAAATATAGGTGCAAGGTGTTTTTTCCCCTCAATATTTTCTATTCAGAGATAAATCACAGAAAGGTGTGCCAATGTTACGTGATTGAACTATGATTGTCACAACAATCCCCACTCATGTAGTTTTTCTCTATTTTCTACCTCCTCTCTGTCTAAAAACATGATTTTTTTTATTGTAGCTTTATTTTTGGCAGGAGTTTTTTTTTGTTTGGTTTTTTGTTTTTTGTTTTTGTTTTTGTTTTTGTTTTTCTTTTGTCACCAAAAGCATGTTTCTCCATGTAAATCTGGCTTGCCTTCCTAATTTAGCTTTCAAAACATCACAGAACGAACTCTGCATTTCCTCTTGTGGTGCACAGTCTTCTATGTGCTGGGCCTTATCATTGTTGAGCAGCCCTTTCTTCATGTGTGTTTTAGTAACTCCAAGCTTAATACATGCCATACCACCCATAACCCACCCTTCTTTTTGTACTTTTGGGTGTATTGGTTCTTCTCTATACCTTTCATTTTGCAAGATCAGTCTCCTGTACAGCAAAGCTTCCCTTGTGCCACCACAGATAGAGGCGCTCATGGCATTAGATGCCCATTGAGTTTGGTTCAAACGTTTTTTGTCCTGTATTGCCTTTCCAGTGTGTTTTTACACTGTTAGTTCGTTGAGAGCCTGTGATGTGTTATGAGTATCTTTCGTGCCTTTACCTGGCATGCAATGGACATAAGAGTGAAAAACTAAGTGAACAAATACCCAAGCACCATACTACCTAGCCACAAAGTCAGAAAAATATACGTATAAACAAGCAAATAAATCAGTATGTTATCCTTGCTCTCAATGAATTTATACTGTCATAGAGCAATGAAGATACAAACAGATAAGGAAAATACAGAGCTATGATACAGTGACAAGCCTGCACATGGGAGCCCTAAAGAAGTGGCCACTGTGTCCTGCTGAGAGGCCAGAGGGTGGATCAGCATGGGCATCACCCCTGAGACCATTCCTCTGCCCCTGCTGTATCCAAGTCAGAAGTGGCTCACGCAGTATGACAAATCAAGCCCCACTCCAGGTTGTTCATCACCCGCACAGACCCACCAGGCCTCATGTTGCCTAGGACAGCTCCACTTTAAACTTTACAAAGAACATTGAGTTAATTTATTCTTCTTTTTGTAAGCCTCTAGGGAAGAACACAAGCATTCTTCCTTGTTGTTTCTTTCTAATTTTAAATGCCATTTTGAAGCCTTTAGAAACACAGTGATTTATTAAGTCACTCACATTTGAAAACCCAGGGGATATTATCATATAAAAAGAACTAATAAAAATCACATACCGGGGCATCCTCCAACATACTCTGGTTCAGGAAAGGTGCAGAGCTTACCTGAAACACCTATCACAGAGCGATCCTTCCACAATGGACAGAAAGACCTGTCCCATGTTTCACTAACTGACATGTATTTGATGAACAACATGTGACACTTTTACATAAAATTGCTAAAATTGAGAAATCTAGGAAATGCCCAGGCTATTAAAAAAAAGGTATGTTATGGGAGGTGAGCACGCACTTACCTGAACTCTGTTCAGGCACTCTGACAAGGGGCCAAGCACTGCCCCCTGACCTGAAGCTCTAAACGCAAAGTAGAAGAAACTGCAGAGAAAGCCTTTGAAGTGGGCCAGCAAGCCCGTGGGGAGCTTCGAACACGTGCAACCGAACGAAATCCCGCACAAACACTGGCTGTTGATTGTTTTCAGCTGGTCGGGGCTGTTCTGAGCGCTCCCCACACGCCTTTGGTCATCCTCTTGCGGTGATGTTTCATAACAGCGAAAGCCGCAACTCATTGTTTTTCACGTTTTAATTCGAAAAACATAGCTTGCTATCGCACCGAGTTGACTAACGACAGCCACAACAACACGAAGAAACTTGGTCTTCGCTTTTTGTTTTCACATGGACTACTGAACGTCATGAATGGTATCTCAAAGCATCTATTCCTCAACTTACGTTAATTACTTTCCTGGAAGGATATGGTTTTTGTTGCTGCCATTTCTTTATAGTCTTAATTTTTTTTTATAATTGGAAATGACTCTTGGGAAACAAAGAAAAACACAAAACAGAGAACTACTTTTGTTTATTTGTTTTGCTTCCAATCTAAGTTTCTTGAGAGCGAAGACATTATTTCTTTTATATTCTTATGTGTTATTTAAAACACGGTAGGCAATCAAGTATTATTACATGATACTTACAAAGATAAAATGACATGTATCACTTCCTGCCAGATATATCAAATTCAAAAAATATCTATATCAAATTCTGGGGAAATCAAATTAAATTCATTATTTCAATTTCCATTTACAAATATTTTTACAAAATGAATTAAATATCTGTTGAAATAAGTTCTGCATTAGAATTATAAAAATCCAGCTAGGGGCCTGGGAGATAGCTCAGTAGAATAAGCCCTTGCCTGGCAAGCAAAAAGTCCTGAGTTCAATCACTGGTCCTGCAAAAGAAAAAAAAAAAAAAAAAATGGGCTGGCCAAAAGCTCAGCCAATTAAAGCGCCTGTTTAGGCAGATGCAGGAGCCAGGAGTTCAATCCCCTCACCTGCTTCTACTGACCCTGCCCCCAGGATGCACTGAGAGGGCAATTGAGACTGGATATGGTGTACCGAACCTATAATCCCAGCACTTGAGAGGCTGTAAACAGGAGGACACAGTGAGATCTTGTACACCCTGTCCTAAATACAAAAAAAGAATTATAAAAAAAGAATTATAAAAATCACTATTTTTACTGTGCATTTGCAAATTGCTCCAGGTACACAGGTCTTATAATTCAAAGGAGGATGTTACTTTTGAAATAATAGGTAAATGTGCTGACTGACACGTTCATGTAATATTTATGAAGCACAAAAGGTATAATGTATGAATACAAATCGTAATTCATGAGTTGAGTGACTGTTCATCCAAATTTGTAACAGTTGCTAGTAGTCTGTTTTATAGAATTATAGATCTCTGCACACAATGCTGAGGAGATACACCCTCCATCTAAGCATGTGCTAGATCCTTCAGACCAAGTGTTCACTGCATGCATAATGCAGCAGAAGTTGGGCATTTACTCAACAAAGCCATGTTGTTGTAGTGTCTTAGTTATCTGCCTAACTCAGTGAAATCAACCTAATAACTCACAACATTTTCATTTCATTGCTATTCTATGTGATTCATCTCTCCCAAAGAGATGTCTCCTAAAGTCTCTATAGCTGTATCAACTTATCTAGCATCTGAGATCTGAGAAAGGAGGAAGGTATGAAAGAGGGAGGGAGGGAGGGA